TGTTACCCTGGACTGGGCAAAGATGGGAAGGAAGGACTGTGTGTGTTTGTGGGTGTTTTAAGGGACTCTGGGATTTTCATGAAGACATTGTCATTGCTCTTAAGTCTGTATAACTTTTGAATAAATAATTCGTTTCCTTTTCACCAGTCTCTGACATGGAGAGCTGTAATTTCCTGGCGGCGGGCAAGGCAGACCTAGTACAGGGGCACTCTGGGAGAAGGGGGGTCCATCGGGTAGTAGTATTTTGTCCCCTACCCTGGGTCCGTTCAGTAACTCTTCCACCCTACCTTATGGAATTTATCTTAGCCTCTTCTACCCTTCTCTTTTCCTTCAGGGTTTCCACAGGGTTTTGCAGCTGGCACTCTACCTGCCTGCATTCTTCTTCCCCTTCCTCACCAGCCCTCAACAGCCCCCACTAGATTCTGTCTCCATTGTCATTTCTTCTGTGAACCTTCCTATGGCTTCCCTGACCAGGTCGCACCCTCTTTTCTATATTCTCACACCATGATGTGCCTGCCGTTGTTAACACTTATGAAAGTTGTACTTTCATTTACCTGTATACTGTTGGATTGATTGCATCTGACTAATTAGACCGTTGCTTTAAAATCTTTGTCTAGCAGATCTGCCATCAGATCTTTGTCAGAGATAATTTCTGTTGATGTATTATCTTTATTTTATTTACTTTTGTGTTCCTTTGTATGCCTTGTGATTTTTTTTTTGGATGAATGCTGGACATTTAAACCTAATAACGGTGGCAAGCCTGGAAATCAAATTCTCTCCCTTCCCTGGTGGGTGCTGTTTTATTTCATTATTATTTTTGTGAGTCTCTTTGCATAACAGCCTGAAATGTCAACTTAAGGTCTCACATCTTTTCTGAGCCTTTTTCTGGAGATGCATGGTCATTTTGTAACTTTCCTCGTATAGGCAGTTTTCGAATGTCCCAGTCTTTAACATCTAGCTCCCAGAAGGAGAAAAAGAGAAAAATGAAGAGTGGGGAAAAACGAGCACTGGCCCTTTAAATTCCTGGAAGTTACTTTAGCCTGAGGAGGAGGGTCTTGCTACTGCAAGGGACAGTGCTCCTTTGTGTGCACTCACTGATCAGAAAGAAGCAGCAACCAGGGATTGGAGCCCAGGATCCTTTTTGCCCACCCTGGATGCCACAGCCTGTGTTAAAACCGCGCCAGGAACACGTGCACAGGTGTTCGTTCGCCATGCGGCCGGGGGCGGGAAACGTGTGGCTGCCACTGTGCTCAGAGCCGAACTGACCAAATGAACTGCAGTCGCTGTGCAGTCTCCCCCTGGAAGCTGCAGGCCTCCGGCGGAGTCCAGAGCTGTAAGACAGCTGTGTCAGATGGATTCTGCCAGTGTCATTGCCGTCTACACAGGGGACAGATTTCTGGGGCTGCCTACTCTGCCACCTCCCCCTACCCTAATTCTTATATTTTAAAAAAACGTTTAATTCTTTTCTGATGTTTTCTGAGGGCTTCTCAACTTCCCCTTCTACCACCACTAATTCATACTTTGGTTGTATCCTTTAGATTTACCTCAGTTATTGTGTGATTTAGGTAACCTGTTATATTTTCCAAACCCTGCGGTTTTTTTGGTTCTCCTATGTTAATATAGGCTCCCGTTTTTACATACCCAAATCTACTCTAATCTAGTTGAGAATATTATGCCTATTCATTTATCTTTTTAATAAATTCTGGGCTACTTCGTATCATCGGTTATTTAGCATGCTGTTTCTCTTTGTTTACATGCTTATGGTAAGTTTTGCTTGCGATCATGTGCCCGTGGATACATGAGCGGTGTTTCCTGTGATGGTGTGGCGGGGGCGTGGGGGTGGGAGGGGGCGACGCAGAGAAGGCCCAGAGCCCGAACCTCTTCACTTGTGCTTCACTTGGCTGATTCAAAGAGGGTGTCGGCAGCAAAGGAAATCATCAACAAAATAAAAGGACAACCCCCGGAATGGGAGGACATATTCACAGATACACCTGAGAAAGGGTTAGTATCTAAAATTTATAAAGTACTTACAAAACTCAACACCCAAAAAGACAAACAACCCAATTAAAAAATGGGCCGAGGCCCTGAATAGGCACTTCTCCAAGGAGGACACACAGGTGGCCAATAGACATATGAAAAGATGCTCGATATTGCTAATCATCAGGAAGATGCAAATTGAAACCACAGTGAGATACCAGGTCACACCTGTCATCAATAATGGCTGTCATCAATAAATCAACCAACAACAAGTGCTGGCAGGGATGTGGAGAAAGGGGAGCTCTGCGTTGTTGGTGGGAACACAAACTGGTGCCGCCATGGTGGACAGCAGCATGGGGACACCTCAAAACATTAACAATGGATCTGCCTTTTGACCCAGTGATCCCACTTCCGGAAATATATCCAAAGGAACCCAAAACACTCATTCGAAAGAACATAAGCACCCCTACATTCATTGCAGTGTTATTTACAGTTGCCAAGATATGGGAGCAGCCCAAGTGTCCATCAGTAGAGTAGTGGATAAAACAAGTATGGGATATTTGCACAATGGAATACTACTCGGCCATGATAAAGAAGATGTTACCCTTTCTGACAGTATGGAGTACATCCTGCTAAGTGAAATAAGCCAGTCAGAGAAAGAAAAAGACCATATGATTTCACTCATGTGGAATCTAATGAACAAACTGAAGTAACAAGGAAATGGGCACAGACTCAAAGATGGAGAGCTTGTGGAATGAAGAGTTTAGGGGGTGGCAGGACTGAGCAAAAAGAAAAAGGAACTCATGGACACGGACAACAGTGTGGTGATTGCTGGGGGGAGGGAGATAAAAGGGGACTAAACGGTAATGGAAAAAATACAATAAAGATTACATTAGAAAAATAAAGTGTGGCCCTGGCTGGCAAAGCTCAGTGGATTGAGCCCGGGCTGCGAACCAAAGTGTCGCAGGTTCGATTCCCAGTCAGGGCACACGCTTGGGTTGCAGGCCACAGCCCCCAGCAACCACACATTGATGTTTCTCTCTCTCTCTTTCTCCCTCCCTTCCCTCTCTAAAAATAAATAAATAAAATCTTTCAAAAAAAATAAAGTGTGTATCAGGAACTTCCAGTCTTAGACTCCACACTGATATGATATGAGCTTATTTACACCCATTTGCTGCTTCCTAAACAACCCTATTCCCCTTTCTTTCGCCCCTACACAGAGAACATGTCTGTATTTCCGGCTTGGGTGTGTTTTCCATGGAAATTTGTTCTCTTAGGCTCAGCCGTCTATCCCTCAGTGTGTGTAGGAAGAAGAAAAACCACGAACAGTCTGGCCAGTCCAGCTGTGCCTGTGTTTGCATACTTCTTACCCTCGCTGGGCTCTGGAACCACAGTTCTGCTCTCTCGGTCACCCTGGTGGAGTCTTGTGTCTGCCACTGCTTTGACGATGGAAGAGTAGACAGCGACACAGACAGGCTTTCGTGGTGGGGAGAATACTGCCACTTGAAAGCTCTCAACACAACTCATCCTCCCAACTTGCGTGCCCGGTCCTCTGTCTTGGGCATCAATTTCCTCTCCCCCACAATGTGTAGCAGCCCTCTTTCCTCAGAGGATTCCTTTTATTTTTTTTCCCTTTTTTGTTTTTTACTTTGGGTCTTCTGGGTGTTGGCTGGAAGAGGGAGCAAACTGGCTACCTGGGAATGTGTTATTTTGTTCCTGGAAGACTGCCCACTTCTGGGACACCAGTTTCAAGACTCACAACAGGGAAATCTCAGAACTTCCATGGATGTAGATCCGTCAGATTAGCCTAGTCCTTATTATTTCAGGGCAGGCAACATGTTTCTTGCAGCTGATTGGATTGGGGAGTGATTTGTAATTCTAGAGTCTTCACCAGAGTTGAAATGTGCCAGAATGAGGGCTTCCCTTGTTCCTAGTGACCTCTGTCTGGATGAGGGTCTGACCTTGAAGTACTCAGATTTTTTGCAGAAAATTGTATTCATTTAGGAGATTGTTTTTCTTATCCTTTTTTAAATCCTCGTTTGAGACTATGTTATTGGTTTGGGGGGTGGGAGGAAGGGAGAGAGAGAGAGGGACAGAAACATCAATGGGTGGCCTCTTGCACATGCCCCACCTTGGACCAAACCCACAACCCAGGCATGTGCCCCGACCAGGAATCAAACCCGTGACCTTCTGGTTTATGGGACAATGATCCAACCAATTGAGCCTCACCAGCCTGAGCTGTTTTTCTTAAGACTGAACAGAGACCAGGCTTGTGTGTCTAGTTCTAGGACTCACTGGTCTACAACGCCTCTGGTGATGCACAGTTGACAGATTGGGTTTTGTCAATGAGACGGGCAGAGAAGGGATACAGGGCAGGGGTGCGTGAAAAAATTCAGAGATAAAATGGTCAAGTAGACGATCCTATAGCTGGGAAGATCATGCTGAACGCTGTGGCATTCTATTCAGAAGATTGGCAACCAGTGTTTGGATGACCATTGTTTTGGAGCTAACACGGATGTCAGACTAAAGCTGAGGGTCCTTTTCCCAGAAGCACTGAGAATAGCCAAGTCAAAGTTCAGCGACTGCGGTACTAAAAACTATCCACATATAACTACTCATACATTGGGATCGAGTCAAGGGTCTAGTTCAACGAACTGGGGCTCCTGGTGTGGTAGAAGCGAATCGGGAAACGTCACAGAGAAAAATTTGTTTTGAGTGCAGGGATGTTTCATGGGAGTGTGAGGTTCATCACTCAATTTGATTTCAAGGACAACAAGGAGAACAAGTTTGGAACTTCGGTTTCACTAGTGGGCTCCACACGAGAGAGGAGGCGACACAGCCCTGTAGACATTTGGCTTGTCACACCTGAAAGTGTAAGTATGGCGTGCAGGGGTGAGGGAACGGGTCCGGCGGAAGAGGGGAGCTCACAGACAGGAGCGGCTGGTGCTCCAACCCCAGAGGAGGTCGGGGGAGGGGCAGTCAGAGAAGGAAGTCTGACACAAAGATTATTTCATTTTAATGGTCATACAGTTCTTTCTCAGGAAAGACAAAACGAAAGCCAAGAAAATCACAGACAGATGGGAGTTTCAAGGACATATTACCAAGACGATAAAATTTGTCTGAAGTTTCTTATGTCTGCCTTCAGCTGGTGGATCGAGGGCGCTTCCCACTACTGGGTTTCCTTTCAAGGCTCCTGTTTAAGCAAAAACACAAAAACAAAACAAAGCACAACAGATCTGACTTACAGGTTTTGGAAAGTGTCCCTGGATTAATTTGTCATTTTTATCTCAGGGGAAACCCAGAGGACACCATCTCTTCCAATGCCCCTCCTGCTTCTTTATCTCTCATTCTTTCATTTTCTCAAACCATGCCATTGCCGACTGTGTGCCAGGCACTGCAAAGACCCACTAGGAGTATTCTGCTAATAAAGCAAAATTTCTGCTTTTGAGTTGTTGTTCAGGCTGCTCTCTATCTCCTTGTCCTGGGAATCAGCCACACCATAGCCCTTGTGGCCTCCATGAGCCTTCTTCTAGATCCTGTGACTGGGGAGCAGTCACATGTAGGCTGGGAGCTAGCTGAGCTGTATAAAGCATCGCGTTGCCATGGAGAGTCCCTGAGTCTGGAAGTACAATGATGAGGGTTGGGTGACCATATGCGTGGAAGATGGTCAAGTCCTGGGTAACCGGCAGATCTGATTAGAATCCTTCTTATGCTATTTAATACCATGACCTTGGGCCAGTGAGATATCTCCACTGGGCTTGGTTTCCTCATCTGCCACGTGAAATTAATAATACACATCCATCTTAGGATGCTTTTAATTGTCATTTGTACCAATGCATGTGAATTGCTTACTGCAATGTCTGGCACATGTTAATTTTCCAGTAAATTGTGGCTATTATTTTCTCTCTGGTCTTTTGATTTCCTAACTGCAAAATGACAGACAATCCTGAGAGCCAACCCAACTGTTAAACCTTTCGATGAAGACAATTCTCCCTCTTCCTGCTTCCAAACTGGGCTTTCTCTTGGGGTCCCCGAGCCTCTCCTTGTCCTCTCCCCAAGGCTCAAGGGCAAGGTTGGACTCCTTACGGTGTCTTGAATTCTTCTTCACACATGATTTGGCATTCTATTTTAAGCTTGTAGTTGTTCAGGTTGCCATCACAGCCAGTGAAGATAAAACTTTGGCACTGTTTGGAGGTGTAGTTGTAGAAATATCTAAAGTGGATTTCAAAGCAGCTGCCGATGTCCACCTCCATCCTGCAGGGATCTGCACGAGAGGTTCCCGTTCGGTTAGAGGGACTTTGTTCGGACTCAATCAAAGATCTTGTGTTCACGGGCCCTTCAAAAGTCCTCATGTGAGCCTGGAAATAGTCCCATATTCAAAGTCACCGAAGGGCGCCTTATTTTCTCTTAGAATTAGGGTTACTTGGCAAGGTTGCCCTTGGCCGTGGAAGTTGATTACAACTCCAGGTTCTGTCAGTGACTTGGAGAAAGAGCGAGCCGTGAAAAGGAGGTTCTGCCAGAAGCTTGTACAAAGTAATAAGGTTCCCGTTTCGTTTTGTTTATTTTTATGAAAGTGGTCTCCTGCTTCTCTGTACCTTCATCTTTCTCTCCTCTTTTTTAAAAATTAAGAAATATGTTTATTGATTTTAGAGAGAGAAGAAAGGAGAGAGAGAGAGACATTGATGTGAGAGAGAAACACTGACTGGTTGCCTCCCAGAAGCGCCCCGACTGAGGATCAAACGTGCACCCTCTTTCTGTGCCCTGACTGGGGGTCAAACCCAAAACCTTCTGGTGTCTGGGACGACACTCCAACCGACTGAGCCACACGGCCAAGACCTTCTCTCCTCTTCACTGCCCACACAGGACATACAGTTCAGAACGCTCACTCTCCAGTTCTCACACACTCACTCTACTATCTGCACCCCAAATTTCAGGTAACGGCGCCTCAAGGCAGGATGCGTAGCAAGGTGCACAGCGTGAAGGTGATACTCTTGCTTTCGTACCCTGTCATCTTTCCTTCCAGTGCCTTCCCAGAGGCGAACCTTCCGTTTTCACTGATAAGCGTCCCAACGATCCGGGTGCCCTGGCAGCTCCCAGATTGCTGTCTGTCTTCCTCAGCTGGAATGCACTGGCTGGTCAAAGTAGCTACTCAGGCACAGTCACACACGTAGTCTCACTGCGCATGAACGCCCTCTGAAGCAGGCAGTTTTCCTGGTCTGCATGTCACACCGGGAAAACTAAGACTGAGGAGGGATAGGTAGTGAGTGACCGAGCGACTCAACCAAGGGCACCCCTTTGCTGGGGGCGGGGTCCGAATTTAGGGCCTCTGACTCAGTGTAGACGGTGCCACCGCCTATGTTCTGGAAGCACTGAGCCTGTACATGTGATCTCGCACCCACACTGTGTGCCCCTCTAAAACAGGGACCACGCGTCCAAGGGTTCTCTCTGTCCCCAGAGCCCAGATACTGGAAATGCCTCCGTTGCTTTCAGGGTCAGCCCCTTTTCTTGCAGCTCAGTACGTACTCTAGATTGGCCTGGGGTCCTCGAAATTTGTCATGAAGCCCCCAGTTCAAAGTACCCCTAGTCTTTGGAAATCCTACAAAAGAGAGCCCGATTGGAAAGAACTTATTTGTATTCCACTTTGTTTTTTCCTCACCAGACATCTACAAGACCCCTAGAGCACGTAAGGTCCCAAGCCAAAGGCCTAAGAACCTGTGCGTGTTGACCCAAAAGGAGGAAGTCAACTGAACCAACATTTCCCCCCAACACTTTCTCCCTCGTTCATCATTAGTCTTTGAATTTAAATTCTGCTTCAAGTTCATACCTTTGAGATCTTCACACATCCTTTGAGAAACTCGTTCAACACCACCCATTAATGGCATAGTCTGCAAGAAGAAGATGAGGAGCCCTAGAAGAAATCTCAGCTCAGCGGGCTTCATGGTACAGCAGGCAGCAGGTAGGAGAGTCCTGACATCAACCGGTGTTATAGTTTGTGCTGGACACTTGAGAGAGCTGAGCCCGTTTACCCCGAGGGCCAGGACTGGGCATTACTCGGCGTTGAGTTGAACAGTGAATGCCTGGGTACCCAGCCATGAAGCTGAAGGTCCCAGGCTGATTAGAAGCCTGATAGTGAGTCCCATGTCCATGTAGAAACCAAAGAAACCAAAGGGGCTGAGCCTCTGTGTGTGTTTAACCATGGATGGTAGAACCATCAGAATGAAAACAAATTAAAAAAGGATCGCTTTCTTTCCTCCCTTCCACAGACAGGAAGAGACAGACTCTGGTACAACAGAAAGAGTGTAACAAACCCAATACATGAATGATAGTGACTAACCCTGATAGCACTTCCTGCTAGGCACCACGTTAAGCAACATACATACTAAATCACTGAAGCACCACAAGCACCCCGTGGGTTAAATGCAGTTGTTATCATCACTTACAGAAAAAGAAACAGAGGCTGAGGTTAAGTTATCTCTACAAGGTCACACATATATTAGGTAGCGGAAACAAGCTTTGAACTCGCTACCTTACATTACCTAGGAACTAAGGCCACCTTGGTTCTCTTTTGTGGTGAGCTTTTTGAAATGTTGACTTCCCCATTGACCCCCTTAAACCACCCGAAGTTGATTATTTTGGCCAAGGTATGGAATAGTTCTTAGCTCAGGAGGGAGCACCTACACGGCGAGGAAAGACTAATGGAAGTTAGGACCTATCTCCGACTCTCCTGAGTAGGCAGTTTTCTGGAAAATGGTCCAGGGGCGTAACTGGGTACTTTGTGTTTCATCAGAGGTTGATACACTGACACCAGCTGGTGATGGGAATGGACAAGCCAGTGGTATAGACGAATGCACCTGAGTCAGGAATTGTCTGCCCGGAAGGGGACCGCTGTGAAGCAAATGCTACATCAGAACTTCATGGAATCCCAGCTGCTGCCTCGGCCACTGCTGCTAACATACAATCTTTCTTTCAGCAAAAGGGTTCCCAGCTGGGCTGTGAAAGCCGGGATACCAAAGAACGCAGGCGGCATTCTAGGACAGGCTTCTGTTGTGAATGCCTGCTACAGAGGGTTCCTGCCCAGCCGGGTGTGGACACGGTGTGACGAGAGACCTGGGGGCACAGGAAGTGTGTACCCCGTGCTCCTGCGTGGAATGCTGCACCAGGCCCGTCACACCGCTTGGGACCGAGCCAGACCTTTCCGTTTCACCGCACTTCCTCGTCTCTGAGTTTTGCCTTTTCAGACTCTGATTTCTTTTGTATTTTTGACCTTTACCCACATCACCCCAGAGGAGAGCTTCTTACCGTTCTCCTTTCCTATGATCTAAACGATGTGCTATAAAGCCCTGGCTGGTGTAGCTCAGTGGATTGAGTGCGGGCTGCGAACCAAAGTGTCCCAGGTTCGATTCCCAGTCAGGGCACATGCCTGGGTTGCAGGCCACGACCCCCAGCGACCGCACATTCATGTTTCTCTCTCTCTCTTTTTCTCCCTCCCTTCCCTCTCTAAAAATAAATAAATAAAATCTTTAAAAAAATAAACGATGGGCTATGAGAATTCCGCCCTTTTTCCTTGTCCTCCTGCTTCAAGCTCCCTAAATTCTCTCTGTCTTGCCCTCACAAACACTGTCCAAGATACAATAGTTTTCTCAAATGTTAAGTCATTCGGAAGGGACATTTCGCTTTCTTGAAACGCAAACAATGAGTGCATTGGATGTATTATGCTTCTGTAGTATTTAAGTTAGTTTCTTTCTCGTAAACCTCCTCAAAGCAATGTGGTTATACATCTACATTCTTCCGACGGCCTCCATGCGGACAGGCCGTACTTCCTCTGTGTTTCCCAGCCCTTGGACTTCGGCCTCCGTTCTGTCACTCGCTTTGGGCAAAGCTATTATCAGACTTGAATTGTGCTTGCAAGGATGGATTTCCTTCTTTGATCTCTGCATTTTGCCCTAAGAATAATTCTTAAGAAACCACTCGGCCGAGAAGCATGAGAGATACAAGGACCAAAAGAGGAGCTTACCCTTAGCCCAGATCCAAGCTCAGCCAAACTCAGTGTGGATTAATGGAACATGCATTTTCCTGCTGAGGTATGAGAGGAAAAGAACTCTTTTTTAAAGAGACTTTATTTGTTTGTTTTTAGAGAGATGGGAAAGGAGGGAGATCGAGAGGGAGAGAAACATCAGTTGATCAGTTGTCTCTCGCACACCCCCAACTGGGGACCTGGCCTGCAACCCAGACATGTGTCCTGACCGGGAATCGAACCGGTGACCTCTCTGGTCCACAGGCTGAGGCTCAATCCACTGAACCACACCAGCCATGATAGAAAATAAATGTTTATTGTTACTTGCTACTGAGATTTTATTGGCAGGGGATTGTTACTCAACAATGCTGACTGAAATGCCCATGCAATAAATTCTACTTTAAAACATTACCTACACATATAATCTAACATAAGAGAGAACATGGGAGATGGAAAAGAACTACAGTAAACGCACACACAATACAATATTAATGGCACTTATATTTACGAACATCCATGATACTAGGAAGAGGATACTATGCTCCTCTTTTCTGGTCGGAACGTTGTGGCTGATATTGGTTAATGCCTCAATTATGCATCCACATTCCCTTTGCTTTCAGCCAGCAATGGGTCAACTGGTTAGTGTTGTTTGTTTGTTTGCTTGCTTGTTTGTTTTTTTTAACTTAGTAGAATGTTCCAAATTCTCATTTCGGAAGCATGTGAGCTCTTCACGGCTCCGTCTGTATCGGTCGCTGCAATCTTCCACGACACTAGATGAAGAAGGTCCCTATGTTCTAGGTCTAACCTCGGCCCCCACTGCCCAGTAGCAGTCCTATTCCTCCTTTGTAACGGGGACTGATCAGTGCAGCCAACCAGGGACCCCTCCCTTGCTTTGTTCGGGAAGATGACGAGCAGGAAATGGCCCGTCGGCAGCCGTATTCCATGCTCTGGGCCCAGTTTTTGTGGCACTCACAGACAGAATTTCTCCCCGAGACACTAAAAAACACCAAAGTGGTAGATCACTATTGTTATTGCTGGGGACATCCTTAAAACCTTAGAAACAAGACTTGTGAGACGGAAGGGGACTCCTGGGCTGAGCGCCTAGAAGAAATTCAGTCTGCCCTTCCTTGAGGTGTATCTGTAACCAAGCGCCCAATCAGAGGGGCGGCTTTCGCTTCCAGACTGCAGCATGCCCTGGTGCGGTGAGGCACTCTGAGTCAAGTTCCTTCTGCAGCTGCTCCTGGCACCATATTCACAGAGACCACAGCTGGACACCTTCTTGTTGAAGCCCTGACTAGATGTCTCAAGCCTGGCTACCCTCCTGTTATTTCCTTGGCTCCCAAGAAGACTTGGGTTTCCTAGTCCTTTCTGCCTCTGGGAGGCCAGGCATTTCCCATTGCTTCTCACTAGACGATAGGCTCTATGTCTCCCAGGCTCAGGAGACACATCTCAATCGCTTCTAAGTACTCTTTCATGTCCTGATTGGACAGTGAGCATGGTCTTGCGTTTCTGTGGTTCGGCTGCAATCAGCTCGGGCTGAAATGTCAGCTGTTCCTTCTGGCAGAAGATTCAACTCACCTGTGAATGGATGGCCCTTTGAAAGCCCTTCACTGGGCGCAGTGGAGGGGACACAACATTTCTTATTTCCATGATGTCCCTTCCGAAAACGTTTTCATGAATCCTCTCCCTGTGAAACTCTAACCTTTTCTTAAATGGTTGGAGCTGAGTGATGGTGGCCCTTGGACCACTCTGGCCACATCTGAATGCCTTTCTCTTCAGGAATTTCATACTTTTCTTTAAAATGAATGGGCACACACTGATGGTTGTCTTTAGCCATGAAGACTCTGCTAAAATCTTTGAGACAATGCAAAAAGCCCCATTCCATTGCCTATTATAATTACATTACATAGATCTACCATAATTTACATTACTAGTCTCCTATTGTTGAATATTAAATTTGATTCAACTATTTTACACTCAGAAGTAATATGAATAAGCATCTTTGTCTACATCATATTTCATCAGTAGTATATCTTTTAGTAATGGTCTTCCCTTGGTGTGATGCCTATGGGCCCTCCAGCCCAACACCCTCCTAATCCCCCCAAACAGGGGCCCATTCTTGTAACATTCCCAATTCCTTCAAGTGGAAAGCACCTATTGTGGGGTGCCTATGAAATAGGAGATCTCCGTTTCCCAAGTCCCTTCACTGCCTATTCCTGCCTCAGGCTCCTTTCCTATTATAACCATATTGTGCCCAGAGTAAAAACTTAAAATACATGCCTTAACAATCGATACAGAGGATCCAAGATGGCAGTGGAGTAGGTGGAAGCTACCTTCACCTTCCCCCAGAGCAAAACTGGAATTACAACTAAAATATAGAGCATTCAACCCGAATAACTGATGACTAGATGAAGAGAAGTCTTATAACCAAGAATTCACAGAAGCCACAGCGAGATTGGAAGGAAGGGCGGAGCCATGAAAAGGGCTGGCCCCAATCCCAGGACAGTGGCTGAGAGTCTGGAGGGAAATCTCAGCTGCAAAGGTCCCCCCTGAGAAGAGTAGGATCTCAACCCTAAGCCAGACTCCCCAGCCCAGAGCACCTGAGTGGGGAGCAGGTGCCCACATAACATCTGGCTGTGCAAATCAGTGGGAATTCTGTCTGCCAAGAAGAGACAGGAGTCTGTTAGAGATACAGGTGCCCTCTTAAAGGGGTAATGCACAAACTCTCTTTTGCAGCCACTCACCCTGGGCTCCAATTGTGGGAGGGCAGAGCAGATTAGAGTTGTATGAGGGGAGATTGGGCTTTGTGGCTCTACAGAAAGAGTTGAAGGGACAGCCAAACTTCATGTGAGAGGCCTGGCTCACTGGGTGAACTTGAACCACATGGTTGAACCAGCTCACGGTGGTCAAGGAGCTACAGAATTTTCTGAAAAATATTTCCAGGTCTGGGCCAGGGGTCATTGAGGATCAGCCAGATTGGAAGGGTGTCACAGAAGAGAGGAATAAGACACAGATTTGTGACACATTTATCTTGGGAAAAGTTCATTCAGAGGGGATATGATTGGGGGAAAGTGGAATTGTGGACTAGCAAACCACAAATTTCCAAGCTGATAACATATTCAAGGGATTTACAGGGAGAAACAATAACTTCTACAGTTGCTGGAGGTTTAGTACAGGAATCAAGATCATTGTTCAATTAGCTGGTCCTTCATGACGTGGTTTAATCACATTATCTTTCAGGGATGGAGCACTTTCCATAACTGTCTCCCGTCTTCAAAGATATTTCAAAGATCAGAGGCACGGTGCTTGTCTTCTTCGGGAGCTAATTTATATGGCACCTAGGGAAATTTTAAAAAATGGAGTTTAGGGTGAAACATACACTTAGATTTCTTTATAAAACAAAAATGTTGGATAAAGCAAGGATTGAGGGGACACGAATAACAATAGTAACATTCTTCTTAGACTCTTGCCAGGCCATGGGGAATAGGCTTTGCTTGTATCATTTCATTTTGTCTCATGACACACCTGAGGGAAGGTGTCATTTGACTTCATCTACAGACAAGGAGATGGGGAGCTGGAGACACCCGGCATCCCCAGAACATCCAGGGCAGCGCTGGGTTGAGTCCCAGAGTAGCCAGGACCCTTAGCCCTGCCCCTGCCCAGTACCCCTCGGGAATAGATACTTCCCAGCTTCTCTTTTGTGTGTTTTTCGGCCTATTCTCAGTTTTCAAAAGCAAATATAAATTAGTCTTTAGGAAAAAATGTATAAAGGGACGCTGGGTCCAGCAGGCAAAAGTGAGGCAGGCAGTGAATGCCTGGGGGGTTCTGGGCTATGCAGTGAGGATTTTCTCCGTGGGAACAACTCAGCAGATGCTAGGGTTCGTCTACTCCCTGCCAGCCTCCTTGCATCCCGTTTGAGAAGTCAGAGTTGTAGTCTCAGTATGTGCAAGGCGTGGTGTTTTGTTCTAGCGTTCTGTGGCAAAGAAGTCAGATACAGTTCTTGCTTTTGTGAGACATATTCTAGACAAAAAAAAAATTACTAAGTTAAACCATTGCAGTGCAGTGCAGGGACAAAGAGAATGACCCATTCCACCTGGTGTAAATTGGTGAAGCCTCCATGGAGATTTTTATTTGACATGAAACTTGAAGCACGCGTGGGAGCTCATCGGGGAAGTGGGAGAAAGATCCTGGGCAGAGAGAAGAGCTGAAGCCAGAGCGTAGGGGGGGAGCACGCGTAGAGTCTTGGAGAGAGACCAAGCTTAGTGGGGCAGGTTTCCAAGTGTGAAAGGAAACAAGGACTTAGGAGGCCTGAGTTGGAAGCCAGGGCAAGCGCATCAGTGGAAAATTCAGGGGAAGCAGGAAACTGAAAATGCACTCAGCAGAAGGGAACTGAGCCCCCCAAGGTGGTGATCCCTTGGGGACTAGACATTTCAAGCATTGGGTTTGTATTCCAGCTCCGTCATCGACCAGTTGGCTGATGCTGAGCATATCACTTTAACTCTGTGACCCTCAGTTTCCTGGTCTGTAAACTGGGCATTATGGCTGCTGTGAGGACTGAATGAGATGGAGCATGTCATGGCTAAAGTGCTCATAATCAAAAAAAGTTGATGACACCCGTCAGAGCCCAGGTGCATGGAAGACTGTGACAAGGTCGGCTTGGCTGTCTGTCCTCTGTCTACACCAGGTCACCACAGGAGGCTCAGTGTTGCACTTTCTGGGATCAAGATCAACATTTTTCTCAGGCCCTTGCTGGCACTGCCATCTCTTTCCTCACCTGACCTTCCTGGCAACACCAGGGTCTCCGGAGCGGTCACGGTCAGCTGAGGGGAACCATTCTGCAGAGGACAGTCTGCAGGAACAGGGAGAGCAAACAGTCTGACACGTGGGCCTAACAGATGTGGCAGTTAATGCGATGCATTAGGGTACGGTCCTGGCTGATCCTACCAGAAGGTCACGGGATAGGGGTGCTGGTTCCATAGAAGACACACTCAAGTTTACGGCAATGATTTGCTGCCTGGCCAAGGTGAAGTCCTGCCTCTTTGGGCAATGCATTGAGATGAAGCTTACTAAGGCTTCTAGACCCACAACCACGTAAATCTGAAACTGCAATAACAATATCCTACATAGTAGCAGCAGCCTGGTCCTCCTTTCACCTGGATATCACACCTGGATTCCACCATGAGCTCAGCATCTTCATGCTGCAGGGGCCCTGGATCATGGAACAATGCTGATGGCCAGTGTGCGGCCTGAGCAGTTAGTTATGCATGAGGCGCAGAGGAAGCGAGCACGGCTGACTCACCAGGGCCTGAGCAAGGGTGAAAGTGTGCTCCTGCACTGGCCTCCACGTGCTATCATTTATCAAACTCTCTCGTATGGTGTTGATAACAGGGCAGTTTAAGCAAAAGGACCACTGTCCTAACTTGGAAACGCTGGTGACTTCCGGAAGATTCTTGAATGACTCTAAGCTGTTCATTTCCCCCTCCATAAAGTCTGAAACAACATCCATCAATTTACGAATAGTACCTTTTTATAGTGGTGGAGTTGCAGAGGGCTCCAATGTCCTCGGGACATAGGTAAAGTAATAAAGATGATCCCCCCCCCCCTTTTTTAAAGAGGAAAAACATGGAACCCAGAAAGAATGAGTTGCTGGCGGCTTCTAACCTTTGTAGAATCTTTGCAATGACCAGTTTCGTCCAGTGCACATGGCCTTGTGTATTCTCACAAAACCTGTGGCACAGTGTCCTTTTAGTCATTGACAGGAGGGAGCTGATGGGCTCGGAGATGGAGCGTGAAGTGACCAAGGCCACACAGAGTGTGAAGAGCTCAGCCTGACTTCCCGCTCAGGGCACTGTCGACCCCGAGGCTGGTAGCGCCTGTCCCCTGGCACGGGCTCAGACCCAAGTGCCCCGTGTTCCCCCCGGGCCACGATTCTGCCTGCCCTGTGTGGCACAACTCATCCTGGACCGCATCCTGCCCCAGGGAGTGAGAACATAGCCCCGGGACAAGGCTAACCGAGGAGGGATACAATCTGGATGACAGAGGCTGTGCTGACCTTCTGGGGCTCTAAGGGTAGCCTGTAGAGAGGTTGGAGGAGGGAAACGGAGAAAACACACCAGGAATTCCAGGCCAGACCCCGCTACTTACAAAACGCCATTGGACACACGCTTCATTTGTCAGCCTTCTTCTTTACCGACGGTCTGTGTTTCTGTCTGTAGGAGAAAAGTAGTCTCAGATATTTTCTGGTGCAATGTTATCCTTAGAGATATAATTTTTTATTTCCCATGACTTCCATCTTTAAAACTAGACCAGGAAGCTAAGCTGTCCTGCCAGGGAGAAAGCGGAACCTCAAGGAACCCAGTGACAATGAGGAGTCACATTTAGGCTCCTGCCTCCGATGTGGAGCCTTGAAAGAGGTGGGGTTTCATTGCAAGGGGCAGTCTCTTGAGAGAGAAAGGGTTGCCTAATTGCTAAAATTTACCGAGCAATTATTATGTAGAGCTTGCATGGATGATCTATTGTAATCTCATTATTATTGTTCTAGTATTAAAGAGGAGAAAGTTGATGCCCAGAGAGAAGCAAATTAACTTGTCTGAGGTCACTCAAGCTAAAAAGTGGTAGAGCTAGGATTTGAGTCCAGGTATTTGGCTCTGGGCCCACACTTCATCGTTCTGTACCTTTTTGTTTGTTTGTTTGTTTGTTTGATCTCTCTGTCCCTTGCCTCACATGTAGGGTATTGTGCTCAGAGCAAGGAACACATCACAGAACAAGACGTTTTAGAAGCTCACTGGTTGAGTCTCCTGCCTTGTGGGCCTGTTGAGACCTCATCTGGGACTTATAATCTTGCCAGTTTGGAACAAAGAGTCCTCATTTGATGCATGAGAAAAGGAAAGGCGAACACCGGGCACTGTCTTACCCAAGATCCTAGAAAGACAGTTGCAAGACTGGGTTAGAGACTAGATGTCTCATCAGCACTCTATTGCCCTGTCTCGGCTGTGGGAGGGCTCTCCATTCAGCAGTGTGGTTCACGCCCCTGGTGGTTAACCAAAGCTTCCTTTGGGCCGGAGGACCTCCAGAGCCCAGGAGCACTAGGGGCCAAACGGTGGCATTTGGTGGGAGAGGGAAAAGCAGAAACAGAGCAGTTTTGCTTTTGGATTTTGGTGACACTCGTGGCCCCAGATATAGCGCCCCAGGCCCCAGGGTAAAGGGGGGTCTTGGGTCAGGGCAGGGTCTGCAGATGCAGGACTTGGTGAGGGCATTCCGAGGGGCAGATTCAGAGATTCACAGATGCGATGACGAGGAGAGAAGGATTTTGTAGGGCAGGAGTTTGGGAAGGCTCTTAATCGTGACGTTTATGGAGATTTTCTTGGTGAAGAGAAGGAGAAAGAGACCCATTGTAACAGCTGGTGAGACACCCTCCCATGAAGCCCCCACCAGCAGCGCCAGGGGCAGGGCTGCGCCTGAGGAGCCCCTTACTTTTTATGGGTGTCCTGTATGTTTAACGTACAGATTATCCCACAGAAGGCAGAACAGCACTGAAGTCCTGTTGGGCAATCTTCCTGCTCTGCACAGAACATAGTACAGTTTTCAGGGGCCACTCTGCAGGGCGGAGGTTCCAAAATATACTCTGGAATACAGAACAGGAAAGAGAAGTGCCTGAACGGCAGCCTGGAGTGACAGTCAGAGCTCCAAAAGCCCAAGGAACTGCCAGGAAAACAGCCACCCTGGTCTCCCTCGTGTGGCCCCAGGGACGCGGAGTACGATTTTGTCCTTAGCGGCTGCCTTCCACAGAGTTCTAGGCAGGGAAGACATCCAGAGCTTGGGTATTGGGATCAATGACACTGTCCATCAGAACCCTACAGCCATGGGCTATTCACCGTCCTTGCAGATCAGGTGCCAAGGCCCCATAGACCAGTTCAAGGGGATGACTGGCGTGCACGGTGAGCGAGAAAGGGGTATGCAGTGAACCGTTGGTGTGGGGCTGACTGTGAGAACGGGTGGGGGACGGGCTGGGTGCATGGGAAAAGAGGGGAACATTGGGACAACTGTAATAGCATAAACAATACAATATTTAAAAGAAAAAAAAGATCCATCTGCCTGATTCATTATGTAGTCTCAAGTGAGCTAACAGTGTAACAGTCCTCTCGTAACAGTGTAGTTTATCCTGGGGTCAACGTGCTTTATTTGTGCCTAGGAAGAGTGAGCAGAGGGAAGATTCTGGGAGAGGATGAACACCGCACAGCACACTAAAGGTACTGGCATCAGAATGCTAGAACCCAAATCGCAAATGAGTTCTGGGGGCGACTTCTTTCAAGGGGAGAAGGGTGGGTATTTCATAGTGGGGTCAGCTTCTGGGGGCAAAGATCAGCTTCTCCTTCTTTCCAGAGTTATACTGGTCAGGAGGCCAGAGCACCAGGATGCCCCCACTTTCTGCTGTTGGAGAAGAACACTCGTTTTCATGCTGACCTCCCGTTGCCCCCACCCCCCAGCACTCAGGTCAAAGCCAAGACCACTTCCTCCAGCAGATCCTGCCTCAGGCCTCAGCCCATGTCTTGGTGTTCCAGAATTCTAAAGCATTAAGGACACGCCCCATTAATCACTTTATCAAGTCCAGCCAGGCCTTAAATTTTGTACCTTGTGACTTGCCCTTGCTCTGGGGCAAATATCCTAGGTGGGACATGCTATAAGCCCTTGTTGCAATTAGAAGGGGGGTCTGTAGGAAATCAAAGGTGACCTCAAAAGAATAAATGAATAAAGTTGGGGCTATAATTCTAGCAGCCAATGGCACCAGAGATGAGGTCAGAGGAACCCAGGCCCAAGCTGTTGACAGTCTGGCAGAGACCAGTGTCCAGACTCGCCCTGGGCGTCTCCGCCACCCTACAGCTCCCTGCAGGACCAGAGCAAGAAACTGGAGCTAGTTCTCACTTTGGGGGGTGTGGGGTTCAGTGGAACAGCATGCCACCCTACAGCTCCCTGCAGGACGAGAGCAAGAAACTGGAGTTAGTTCTCACTTGGGGGCTTTGGGGTTCAGTGGAACAACATGGGGAAGGAGTCCCTGAGCCGGGGTCTCCGAAAGGTTGACCCTCTCGAGTTCTGTATCCGGTCCCAATCGCACAGCCCTTACCAGTCTCTCAGAAAGCCTCTTTGTGCCTCTGTTCAGATGTTAGTCCTCGATTCTCCAGTGAATGCTGTCCTAGACACCCCCATTCTCTTGCAGCTTGCTCAGCCTGCTTCACTCTTACAAACCCGCATGCCTTCCCCGAGACCCCTAAAGCAGGTCTTTGCCTACCTCGGCACGTGAGATACCACACACACTCCTGCCCTGAGCCCCCCACCCCAATTCTGAAATGTTCTCCGCACAGATGTGTGCAGGTGTGATGAATAACAGTTCACTTCCCATTTGGTAGAGGCCAAGGTCAACATCCCTGTGCCCAGCATTCTTGTTAGGTCGAGCTGGGCCACAGTGGCTGCTGAGATGGATCGCACCTTCCCAATGTGGCTAATCACTGGCAACTGTGCGGGTAGCGCGGCATGTTTTAAATGTGAAATAAAATGCAAGACTTCCCTTTCTTCCAAAACATCTGCCAAGCCCAAGACTTATGTAGGTTCCAGCCTGAGTTCCACCAACTTAATTGTCCTCTCTGCTTGAACGCTTGAAGAGCGGGCCCAAGCACCCATGAAGGAACCAGGGCAGCTAGAACAAGCTGGGTAATGAGGCTGATAACATTGACAGAAGTTAATACTCACCGAGCGTGTACTGTGGTCCTGTAAGAGCGCTCTACGACTGCATGCCTGATCTCACTTGCTCCTCCCAGCTATCCCAGCACCGTGATATCCACGGCAGAGAGAAAATCTGAGGCCCAGAGACACTTCGCCCAAGATCACTCAGTAAGCAACAGAGCAGGGATTCAAACCTAGATCTCACTGGCATTAAAATCTGGACTCTTGAACAGAACGCTGTGTTTTCTCATGAGACATGCCCGGGAGTCAGTCCTCAGATCCTCCCATCTCTAGAGAGGCTCCTTTCCTCCCCTGGGCCCCCGGGCACGGTACCTACTTATCAGATGTTGCTTGGGGCTCCCAGGCACCAGCTGTGGTGCTAGGAGAACCGACAGCAGGAGCTGGAGAAGCAGCACAAGCTTCATGTGGCTGGCGGGCTGGCGGGGCGGGTCCTGGCTGAGGACTGGTGGGTCTGAGCAGGCACAGCTTGGGGGGGAGAGGAGGGAGGAGAGGAGGCGCTGTGACTGGCTTTCCACCGTGTATCACAGCTAGGGGCGGCTTGGCGGGAATCCCAGCACCTCCCAAATACGCCCACCCCGGGCCAGGTAGTGTTTTCAAGTCTATGCCATTTTCATGCCCCCGAGTTTGACCTCGTGATGTCTCTCATCCTTCTAGGTGTTGTTCATGTTCTTGCGTGAAATTTTTATGTTTTCCCTGTCTTTGTCGTTTTTATTCCTAGAAGCCTGAATTTTCAAATGCTATTGCAAATAGTATTGTAAATCTTCAGTTGTTTCTTTTCAGTTGTTGCTGATGTAGAGAAATGCCTTTTGATAATTTTCAATCCTTTTGATAATGTAATATTTTATTAGTTTCAGGTGTGCAACCAGTGGTTGAACATTTATATAATTTATGAAGTGATCACTCTGATAAATCTAGTGCCCACTGGGAACCATACATAATTATTGCAATATTATTGATTATATTCCCTTATGCTGTACTTTACATCCCCATGACTATTCTGTAACTACCCATTTGTCCTCCTTAGTCCGTTCCCTTGACCTTTTTTACCCCCACCCCTTCCCATCTGGCAACCATCAAAATGTTCTCGGTACCCATGAGACTGCTTCTGTTCTCTTTGTTTGATTATTTGGTTTCTTGGATTCCAGATATAAATGAAATCATACGGCACCTGTCTTTTCTTTCTCTGCCTGACTTATTGTACTCAGCACAATACTCTCTCGAGGTCCATCCTCGATGTTGCAGATGGCAAGGTTTCATTCTTTTTTTTTTTGGCTGAGCAACATTCCATTGTATATGGGTACCACTTCCTTATCCATTCCTCTACTGCTGGGCACTTAGAGAAGGGACTTCTGTACCCATACCTAGCGTCCTTGCTAAATTCCGCCGTTGTTTATCGTAATTGTTTGGTGCATGCTTTTCAGCGTTCTGTGTACTCGACCAGCATCGGCTGATGATAACTTCTACTTTTCCTCTTCAAACTTTGTGCCATTTTAACTTCTCAGTGTGCAGGCCAGGACCCCTATCCATTATTGCAGAGTTGTGGGAATAGTGTCTGTTTTGTCTGGTACCAAATTTAAAATGAAAACTTCAGTTTCCTCTTTTAGGATCGTGTCTGCTTTTGGCTTCTCATGAACATCTTTTATCTGGTATAGAAAGCTCTCTTTCATTCCTGACACGACGAGAACATTTTCACTAATTTATGTGAAATTATTTCTATATGTTGAGATATTATTTCTACATATATCGAGATAGCATTTTTTCCTCCTTTGGTCTGTTAATGTATTGAATTACATTTCAGATATTCCAACACGAAACCATTCTTGCATTTCTGCAGTAATCTCATGGGATCATTGTGCATTAACGTTTTTATGTGGTTTGCTTCGGTTTTCCGTTTTTAAGGGACTTCACATCCACGCTCACGAGAGAACTGGGCCTGCAACTCTCCTTGCCTGGTTTTGCAGCGGGTTTACACTGACCTCACAGAATGTGCCGAGTAGCAGCCCCTCCCTTTTCATATCAATTCTTTAGAAATGTTGTGTAAAATAATCCGTCACTTGAATCCTGAATTCCCTCTTTTTCTTGCACAAATATATTCATTTGCACTTTGCTGTTTCATTTAACAATCCACCTTGACTTCGCCGTCCTTACGGCTGCATTCCATGCCTCTGCTCTGCGCCTGCACGTGCACACACCTGAGTCACAGTCAGGCTTCTGTTGTGCGCATTGATGCACTTTTCAAGCTGTTTCTGCTACAAATTTGCTGCAGTCAACAACCACGTGCACATTTTCTGTATTGCTTGAGGTGGAACATCAGGGTTGATTTCTAACTGACAATTTGTAATCATTGGCTAAAAGGGTAAACTCATACGTAATTTTGATAGATATTTCCAGATCCTACCCCACAAAGGTTGCACCAGTTTGTGCTGCTCCTGCACCTTGGGAGCACGCTTCCCATGACAAAATGTGTTGTCATGCTTTTGAGTTTTTGCCAAGATGATAAGTGGAAATGTTATCTTCGTAGTTGTTGAGGTTCATTCATGTTGTAGTATCAGTATTTCATTCATTTCTATATCTGAATAGTATTCCATTGCATGTACATGTTACAGTTTGATTATCCACTCACCTGCTGATGGGCATTTGGGTAGTTTCCACCCTTTGGTGATTGTGAATAGTATAGTATGCACATTCATGTACTAGTATTTTTCTTAGTAGTTATTTTCATTTTTTTGAGTATATACCTATGAGTGAAATTGATGTGTAATTTTATGCGTTTGACTTTTGGAGGAAACGGCAAACTCTTTTCACAGTGATTGAGACTTAACATTTTAATCACTGATGCATGAGGGTTTCAATTTCTCCACACCCTTGTCAACACTTATTATTTTCCTTTTATGGATTATAGCCATGTATGTGGGTACAAAGTGGTTGGCATTAACTGTGGTTTTGATTTTCACTTCCCTAATAACTAATAATGTTAAGACTGCTTTCATGTACTGTCCATTTATTTCTATATCTTCTTTGGAGAAAAGTCTATTCAACTCTTGCAATTTTGTAACTGGGTTGTGTTTTCCTTAATGCACGGTTGTGTTTCCTTAATGTGTTTAGCTTAATTCCTTAAGCTAATATTGCAGGAACAGGGTATACAGGTTTCTGGTGGGGATGTAGACTGTGGCTACTCAGGGTTCCTCAGTTCTGGACTCGTGTGTTCTGTTTATTGGAGACATTGCAGCATACAATGGCCTTCGGTTCAAAGTGTTGTGTTTGCCAACCAGAAGGTATGTGCTCCATCTTTGCAGGGGTCACCTTCAAAGTGGACATTACATGCTTCTTCAGCAGGCCAACCCACAAGTATGTCAGGTCGACGGATTCTGGGTGATACAGTATAGGGTGGTACGATGGGATCTTGTAATTTTGGACCAGGTATTGCACCTCTTCTGATGTAAAATTTACCCATTGGCACGAAGTGATAGTTCACGGAATCCTACATCAGTACATCGGACACTCTATCTACATAGTCGTCTTGGCCGAGGCACTGCAGACAGGAACGTCAAATCACACTCCCAGAACGTGCATCTATCCCGCTCAGGGCGAGTCGCTCCCTTTCCAGGGAGGAAGGGGTCTGGTGGACTGACCCTGCTTCAGGTGGCTGATTCACCCCTGAGCCCTGGTGCCACACCAAGGGCTCCACCTTGGTCTGTGCCACTGTGAGGTTTTATTTCACTTGTCTCGAAGCACCTGTGAATGCATACTGATGCATAGCCCACGTCTCTGTCATCATGGCCACTCTACCCATGGGTCCATTGTAAAAGCAGTGATGTGGCTAAACACAGAGCCTGGCCTATATTAACTGACCAAACCATCTGGTATACCCCAGTGTACCCTCCCTCTGAGTTCTAAGATACTTACTGTATGCCCCCTTCTTTCCATGTCTTCTGGTAGTGTGTCTCTCTCTCTGATGTATCGGTTACTAATTAATTATATAACATATAATATATTTTGTTATATTTCTTACAATGAACATATAAATAAATCTGGAAAATAAGTGTGTAATATATATTTATAGCTTTATTAAGATATATTTATAGGCCAGTTATGCCTTAATAAAGCTGGAAGAGTACACATGTGTTATTTGTAATATATAGTGTATATGATATAGACATTAAGTTTCCCATCTTTATTAAAAGATAATTGACATATAACATTGTGGAAGTTTAAGGCGTACTACATGTTAACTTGAAAAACACAAATATTGCACAATGCTGACTGACATAGTGTTATCTAACACCTCCATCACATCAGACCATTATTATTTATTTTGTGGGGTGAGACCATTTGAGATCCGCTCTCTTAGTGACCTCCCCCTGCCCCCGGTACCCCACGCTACCATTCCGATACACCATTTCCGTTATATCGCATCTGCTTTAACCATTCATCTGATGAGGAAGTCAGTTTGCTTCCATATATTTTTACACATTTAATGTTTTTCCTTTCATTTTTTTCTGTAAATTATCTTGCAATGAGAAAGTAGAAATAGATGACAGCTTTCAGGACAGAAGTTCCATTGCAACAGGAGGGGCGGTTACGTGACGGGCAGGGCAGGCTCTGCAGAAGCCCAGGCCCCGCACAGCACAGGCTGTGGGACGTGGCAGGCTCAGGGGAGGGAGCCAGCGCTGCTTGCCCTGCCCTGGCCTGGCCAGTGGAGGCAGGAAGGAGCCCAGGACACCCTTGCTTCCCTTCCCTCCTCACGCCAGCTCTCCACGAGAGCCTGTGCCAGACTCAGAGCTCACTGCTCTGGCTGAGTCATGGCGGCCCGGGCTCTGCTGCCCACCCTGCTCCTCTGCATGCTGCTGCTGCTGCAGGCCCAGGGAGGGCCGCGTCGTCGGAACAGGATGCAGAGTAGGTGATGGGCTGGGGGGCAGGCATGGGGAGGGGGCACGAGGGGCTGTGTCCAGCGAAGGAGGACCTGGGAACTGGAACCTTCTAGCACCTTCTGCTCTGACACCAGCACTGTGAAGACTCCAGGCCCTCCCAAACCATGGCCCTCCAACCCCTTCACCAGCCCTGGGACCAGCAATGGGGGTGGAGGGCAGCCTACATCTTCCCATTCTCCACTCCCCAAATCCAGAGACGTATGGTACCCACACGGGTGACGGGTGCACAGAGCTGAGAATCAGATGGGAAGGCAAAATGATTTTTTGGTGTACGCACACCTGTGGCAGGTCGACATCCGGAGATGTTTACAGGAAAGCAAATTTATTTTAGCACGTCTCAGACTTCACTGAGGTTTCAGAGTCAGAGTGCAGACTGTACAGGGGTGACTTCACCAAGACCAGGAGTGAGATGAGAGAGGGTCCTGGCTGCAGGGAGACCAGGCGCTGAATTCTATTGGTAGACAATGGGCGTA